AAATATAATATTTATATTACCTTCAATATTGATCCACAATATTTTCTTCAAACATTTCATATTCCTTCTTTTAAAACTTACTGTGCATCTCTTGATACCTGGTTTACTAAATTCTACAATATTTATAAAAAACAATTTTCATATATCAATCAACAAAAAGTCTATACTCACATTAAATTTCAAACTATTACCTTTCTTTCTAATAATCTTAAACAACTACTTCCAGACTCTTACCAATCTACATCAATTAATTCACTACAAGAACGTACTGATACATCTATTAAAGCTGCTCTATATTATTTTACATACTTGTAAAAATTCTACTTGCAATATTGTTTCTAATAATACTAAACACACTTTCTATAATTTAACCTCTCTCTTCTTTAAACAATCCTTTATACAATTTATAATTACTTTAAAATTTACCAACCCAGATCTAGATTTTTCTAGCTTTGAACCAAATCAATCTTTATCTGCCACATTCTTTAAACTATTTCCTTTCAAACCTTTTAAAAAACTAGCTCATCAAGCAAAACAACAATTTATACAACTTAACAGTACTGTAACCAATTTTAAATATGAAACTTCTTTTTTTTATATTTATTTTCAACAATTTCTTAAGCAAGCTACTACAAATGCTAATATAACCAATCTTAATCTCAAAAATGCATTACAATATGCTTTTTCAATTTCTACAAACCCTTATTATTTCGCTAATATTATAACTTATTTTAATATTATACAATTTTCTACTCACCCAATCTTTTTAATTTTTTCTAAATATTATCAATCTTATCTCCCACAAGATATAAAATATATTTTCAAAAAACTCCTAATTCCAACAATCAAATACAGATCTTTTTTTGTCAAATTCTCAAATACTCAAAATTTCTAAATCAAATATTCAAATATCTGAAATCTCTAAGTCAAATTTCCAAATATCTGAAATCTCTGAGCCAAACTTTCAAATACCTGAAATCTCTGATTCACTCTTTCTTTTTTCTTAAACTTTATTTATCAAATTTTTAAATATATAAAATCTCTTATTCACTCTTTCTTTCTTTGAAACTTTTCTTTTCTTTTTTATGTCAAAATACACTACTTTTATCAACAATATTATTCACTTTATTTTAAATTTTATTAAAATTTCAAAATTTTACAAATCTTTCACATATCAACCAACTTTATTACTATCATATATTTGATTAACAACTTAAACTTCACTCAAATTTTACTAAGACTTGATATATTTGAAAAAACTAAATCTTACAAAACTTTCTACCCTACACAATATTCTCAATCTCTCTAATTTCTATTATTTTCTTTTTTTACACAAAATTTGTTCATTATTCTAAGTCTATACTTATACCTTGACTTTTCTTTTATCAAATAATACTTCTTTTGCTCTCTTTGAAGGGCGTCAGAAAATATTCTTTGGTTTATATCTTGTAAACGAACTTTTAATTCTTCTAACCTTCTTCTTAAATCTTTTGTTTCACTTTGCAATCTATAAAATACAATTTCTATTACTTAATACAATATTTACTTACTTTTATAAATACCAAATCTATAACTAAAATTATACCTTTGTTCTATAATAAAGCCCATACTGTAAAACTCATAAAAATAATGTTCTTGAAGTTTTTTCTCAAAAGTATCCTCAGTAACTTCAATAATCTCTCTTGGAACTTCCTCAAATTGAACATACCACTTATAAAACCTCTTCAAATTACTTCGTGTATAGTGTCGTTTATCCATTTTTCAAAAACTATTATCAAACCCAAAATTCAAACTTTAACTTAAATCGAACAAAATTACATGTGGTATAACATCACGTATTCTATAGATTAACTAATATACAGACGTGGATAATCCCAAATTTATTATTGGAAACCCTAAATCTAAAATAAGATCTTCTAAAAACCTGCATTTTTGTTTTTTATTGTGTTCACACTCGTAGTATAGTAGTTAGAGCATTGCATACCCGGGCCACATGTTCGACTTCACCGGTAGCATGCTAGATCTGGTGCACCATGAAAGCATTACTGACTACATTATTTAGTGCTGTTTTTATACACTTTTATTCTTTTTTTACTTTTTTTTTACTTTACTTTACTATTCTTTTTTTCTTTTATTATTATACTTTTCTCTTTCACAATATTATTTTTAATTTTCTTTTTACTTTCTTTTTAAATTTCTTTTTTCCTGACTCTTTTCTTTTCACTTTTCCAAACTTTTTCTTTTAAACCTAAATTACTCAACTCATTTAATCTTTACAAAACTATTAATATTACTATCTTCTTTTTCTTTCTCTCTTTTTAACTTCACTTAAATTCTTCTAAAAAAATACCATACCTATTTATATTACAAAAAATCTATATCTTACACATCCTATAGTACCTCTATAAAACTTTATACTTATCCAGGACTCACCTAAATTTGTATAAAGTTTTCAAATCTAGATGAGTCTTGGCCACTCTAGTAAGTTTAGGTTGCAGATAATTAGTTTGAGCTTTTAGTTTAAGCTTTTAGTCTGAGCTTTTATTCTTGAATATAATTTATATCTATTTGTTATTATACAAATTAAGTTTTTATATAGTTTATATATAATTACTTATATAAATTAATCAATAAAGATATGAGCAAGTTCTCACCATAATACCAAAAAAAAAAAAAAAAATTTAAAAATTATAATTTAAATTATTTTAAAAAGTATTGTATAGAATTTTATAATTTTTTTTTATTTAAAAACATTAGATTTATATAATATTCTGTATAATTTTCAACTTTATATCTTTTTTATTTATCTCAATATAAATTTTTAAAAGTGTCCACAATACATTGGTAGCCCCCTGTAGTTTGCATTGGGAATTACTGTAATTTCTACCATGAGTTACTATAAAAAACTGTTACAGAACTCATTGTTCCTGTGATTGCGAGTTAGTTTCATTGGAATTACCATGATTTCTATGTAGTTAAGATTTAATTTGTATTAGCATTAAGGTATTACGAGTGGATAGAAATAATGTTGGAAAGAGACCTTATACAAACTTTTGATTACTCTGAATTTAGTAACATCATTGAAATTGCTAGAGGTACATATGTATAATATAATATTAAAATACAGTCAAACCTGGAAACAAGAATCCTGTGATTATAAAAAGTTGTGACTATATAAAAGTCAAATTTTATATGTTTTATAATAGCTCGAGTTAAAAAATAGTGTGATTATATCAAGGTTGTGACTATATTAAAATGATTATAACGAAGTCTGACTGTAGATTTTTTTTTTTTTGTACGCATAATTAAAAATTAAAGGTAGTAATGATATTGTTTATTCCGCTGAATACCGTGAAGCAAAGATTGCATTTAAACAATTTAATGATATCAATATCAAAGAAATTGTTAATGAGGTGACGTGAAAACTATAAGAGTACTGTATTTGATTTCACTCGTTAACAGCCAACATATCCGCGTTATATAGATAAAACAACATATGACAGTTAACAATAGTACAGATTTTTGGGAATTACTATAAGTAAGATTGATTTTTGCCTTAAAGTTAAATTATGCCTAATTATGATATAAATAATATTATAACTTAATTTAGGTTCCGGGCAAAATAATTACATGATAGTATTAGAATATGCAAACGGTGGGACCTTATGAAATTACTTAGAAAATAAAATACACGAATATATTTTTACAATTTCGTGGACAGAAATTATCCTAATTGCGGAGCAAATTATTTTCGGGCTGAAAGCTTTACATCATAAGAATATTGTTCATGGAGACTTGGTAAGTGTCAATTTTAAAGTATTTATTTATATTTTTACTTTGCATAGTTTGAAATCAATTATTAATTAAGATCATTTTTAGCATCCTAAAAACATTTTGATAGTACGTGATGATAAAAATAAATATAAAGTCGCAATCGCAGATTTTGGATCAGCAACAAGACGCGACGACAGTTTAGTATCTATAAGTGGAAGATATTTTACTATTGAATACGCTGATCCACAATTTTTTTTACTAAAAAAAAAGTGAATGTAATAACTTTTAAATCTGACATATATAGTCTAGGAATAATATTGTGGGAACTTACTAGCGGAATTCGTCCTTTGGTAATAGTGTTGGTTTGATACCCCAATTTGTAAGGGATTACGGGAAAAAATGGTTCCAGGAACGCCTTCAAGTTATTCAAAACTTTATAATAGTTGCTGGAGTACTAATCCGAAAAAACGTCCAGAACTACAATAAAATACGTAAAATTCAACAAAATAAAAAAGACAACATAAAATACGTAAAATTCAACAAAATAAAAAAGACAACATAAAATACGTAAAATTCAACAAAATAAAAAAGACATTTCTAAAGACATTTTTAATAAAATTCCATTACAATATTCCTCGGGACTATAACCAAAAATCGGATTATATTAAATTGGTTCGTAAATACATGCTCAATTCAAAGTAAATTTTATTATGTTACGAATTGCTACAGTTCTGTTCATAATTTTGACTATACCATATATGAACACTCGGAATTGTGTACCAGGTTGCGGCACAGATAAAATTTTTAAAAATCGGTAAGTTTAGGGTCAGGGTTAGAGGTGTGGCTTATATAGTAAATTGCCAAACGAAAACTTTTTTTTTGTTTGTTTCTTATGCTGATTTTAGAGTTATGAGCGATTTTTAGCAAAGTGAATGTTTGTTTTTAATAAAAAATTTTGCTTGTCTATTCCAAGTTTTAATTAGGCATTTTAACAATATTTCAATTAAAGATTTAAAAATATTGTATAAATTTTGTTACAAAAAATATTTAGAAATATTCTAAAACGGGTTCATGTCATTTGTCCGACAACTATTTTTCCAATAATATTTTCAAAATTATTGTCGGAAAATGGTTATCGGACAAATTGTTGTTGGGCAAATGACATAAACCCTTCTAAAACAATTTATATTTGAGTTAGAAATTTTAATAATAAAATATATTAGATTTATATTAAAATTTCAGGTCAATAGCTCTCATATTCACTGAGAAAACTGATTCGCTAGTTTTAGAGGTTAAAAATTTAAACTTTGGTTATTTTCTTTTAAATTAGTTTTTTAACCTTTCTTAAAAGCCTAAAAAAATTGTCTTACTCATTTTTTAATAAAGACAAGTTATATTTTATTTGTATAATTTAAATATTAACAGAATTATTATCAAAATAATTCTAACTACTTTTATTTTGTTTTTTTATTTTAATTTATTTTGTTTTTTAATTTTATTTTTTTATTTTTTAGAATGTCAAAGTAAAAATTTTATTATCTCTTTTGACAGCAAATTCGAACAAGATGACTTTTAAATTCATACAAAGTGACTTCCAAATTCGTACAAAAGAACAATGTAATTTAGATTAATTAAAGCACAATATCTCGTGATCCAGAAATCCGATGATTTTGGTACCATTCGAATCGCCTCAGTAAGAGGATTCGAATGGTTTCAAAATTAATCAAATTAGACCATTAGATTACGAGATACCGTATTGCGATTCAAGCAATCTAATTACATTGTCCTTTTGTACGAATTTAAAGCCCACTTTGTACGAATTTGGTGTCAAAAGGGATATTTGAAAGATTCTAACTATATTTGTATTATGCAATACTACGCCCGTTTCCTGGCATACTGTTATTAATTATTTCAAATTAGCTTCAAGTCAGAATAGGTTTGGGAAAATCTAAGGTGTATATCTTGACATTATGAAATGCAGATAGAAAGAGGATAACCTTGTGTTAACCACTTGCTTCTATTTTTAAATCATCAAGTTGATTCAATTTTACCATTTGAGCGTTAATAATCGAAAAATTAAAAACTAATAAAATCTGTATATAAAAACATTGCATAAAATTTTACATTTAATAAAAAAGAAGTTTCAAATCAAGCTTCAAATTTTTTAAAACTTAATAATAATAAAAAAACAATTTAATATCGATATGTAAAAACTTGGTTTATATAATCAAACCTCTCTGAATGCATAGCCGTGAGGCTGCCAAAAAAATCTTGCATTTAGGAAGGTCTGACTGTATAAATTTTTAATGAAACCATCAGAATATTTAATGTAGATTTTAAAATCAATTTGTATTCGTTACTATGAGTGGATTTGGTGAAATAATTTGTGAATGACCTTTTTTTGAAATCATGACAGTATCACCCACAAGTTTATCATCTTGAATAATCTTTATAAAAGCATCAATCACTTCATCAACAGGAACAAATCCAAGATTATCAATCGATTGTGTAATTGTGGGAATTGATTTTATCAATCCTTGCAACAAATGTGTATCTAATTATTCATTAAATTTAAATTAAGGTAAATAATTAACAGATGACAGATAGAGTAAATAGTAGCGATAGTTTTCTTTAACTTACCCACAAATCCAGGAGCAATAGCATTTACGCGAATTTTATCAGTATCGTTTAGTTCGCGTAGTGATTGTGTAAAACCAACGACCTAGAAGTTGATATTAGATAAACGATCAAGACTAAAATAATTTGCAAGTTTAAAAGATTTTAAACATACAGCATATTTTGTAGAAGTATATACTGGCATTGACTTCAATGGATAAAATCCAGCAAGCGAAGCTACAGATAAGATAAATTACTTTGTAAGTTTTTTTTTTTTTGTGATATCTAATATTATTGTTAACGAACCTGTATTTATGATAACACCACCACCACGTTTTTTCAAAAATTGAATTCCCAATTGTGTACATTTGATTACAGCGTTTAAATTGATATCGACAGTCTTCATCCAGCTATCTATTATAATAAATACATGAGTCAAGGTTTATTGCCATTCAAAATATATATTTATATAATTATTAATCTACTTAACCAGTTTGGTCATAAAATTCACCAGATTGCCCAATCCCAGCGTTATTACATACAATCTTTTAGGATAAAAAAAAAAATTATTAATTAATTGCCCATTAAACAAACCAAATAAATAACTAATTAACAAATTTATTTACATCAACGCCACCAAATGTATTTTGTGCAGTATCGAACAATTGATGTAGATGTTCGGAATTTGTTACATCACAAAAGACAAAGATCGCATTAATTTTATTGCTAGATTGTGTAATTTGAAATGGTATTTATTTTTGGATTTTTTGGATGTGTTAAAGCAAAAATATTCCGAAACCAAATACTTTTGATTAAATTCAGCTACGAGCTCTTGGCCAGATTTTTTGTCAATGTCGCCAATAACTAATTGAGCACTATGGTTTAAAAAAAAAACAAAAAAACTTAATATAAATAAAACGAAAAATAGACCATAATATTATCTTTTTGATATACCCTTCTAGAATGAGTCGCCGAGCTAAAGTAGCACCAATACCGTTCGCACCGCCAGTTATAATTACGATTTTATCTTTGATTTGCATTATTGCTTTTTGAGGAAGAAGACGGTAAATCTAATTTATTAACCTTATATAGTTATACAAGATCATTGTGCATATATAATAAGTAATTACCTTGCCCATCTCCAAATTACGTACAGTACGTACGTACTGTAACCATCGGTTGAGAGAGCAATTGCGGATGTTAATCCAATTTAGCTCCGATGGTTAACTTGGTTCGGGATTTTATAACACTTATACACGTGATATGATGTCACGAAACTCTTAAGCTGAGTCAGGGTTATCACTTAACAATCAAAATTTAATTACCGGGAAGGGTTTATTATATACAATAAGAAATGCAAAACAACAATAATAAAGAAATAAAACAATAATAAAAAGAATAACTAAACTAAACTAAT